ATAGGCAACCAGTCAAACGTGTTACAAAAGAGGAGATAGCTGCAATGAGAGCACAATTCAAAGAAATCAATGCCAGGCCTGCAAAGAAAGTGGCTGAGGCCAAAGCCCGCAAGAAGCGTGCAGCCATGAGGAAGCTCGAGAAAGTTCGGAAGAAAGCAAACAGTATATCAGACCAAGCAGACATATCAGATCCTTCAAAGAGGAAATTAATTGAGCAACTCTATAAGAAGGCAACGCCCAGAAGGCCACAAAAGGAATATGTGGTTGCGAAGAAAGGAGTGCAGGTGAAGACTGGCAAGGGAAAAGTCCTTGTAGATCCTAGGATGAAAAAGGATGCTAGGGCACGTGGGATGGGGAAGCCAGGAAAAGGAGGTAAAAAGGGGAAGAATGTCAAAGCTCAGAAAGGCAAAGGACAAATGAAGGCGCGGTCAAAGACGGGAAGGAAGCCCAAGAAAGAGAGGTAGAAGGAAGGCGGATGCGTATATGACTGAGCAGGGGCATGGCCCTTGTTGTTATTCTTTTTTATTTTTTTGTTTGTTAATTATTATTTTTTTTTGTAATTTACAAAGTAAATCCTCTTACTAATTTCTTTCTTTATTTTTCGAAAAACAAAACGGAAAAAAATGTTTCCTTTAAATCCTACCAGAATTGTACATTTGTTACATTTCAGAATGGGAATTGTAAGATATTATAAATATAATTTCTGCATTTCAAATATTTATTAAAAATTATAAAAATACTATAACAGTCATAGTTATAAAATTTACAAATTTGGTTGTACTTCCAAAGAACCTTATACTCTTTTTTTTTTTTTTAATATTCAATATCATTAATTTAAAATAAAAAGTGTATTTTATTTATGATCATATACCGTTAGCTTATAAAATATTAATTAATTATTAGACAATCCATCTATGCACTTTAAAATATTGATAATTACTGACCATCCCATTTATTATAAGTTGTTTATTTTGAATATATTAAACTATTAATATTTAAAAAATAATTATAATTAATATTATGTCTAATACTATTTAATCTCTCATATATTCAGACAATTGAAGAGCATGCTACTAACTTTATTACAAGAAGGAGACTGGCGTACAAAAAATACAGGTAATAAGATTGCAGAGTTAAAGAAGGAAGAGAAAATGGCTATAAGTCCAAACCTAACGTCATGCCACCCATCTTATGGTCGCAAAGACTTGCTTGTGAACTGCTGCCCGCCAAACTACCAAACTCCACAACCTTTCATTGATTTTCAATTTCCAGACCCTTCACGACCTGTAAGAGTTCGACGTCCAATCCATATCATTGAAAAAGATGAGACCTACGTTGCAAAATACAAAAAAGCAATCTCCATCATGAAGTCTTTGCCTTATGACGACCCTCGAAATTAGATGCGTCAAGCAAACTTATACTGTCTTTTTTGTACTGGAGCCTACAACCAACCACACTGTCATTTCCCTTTTCAGGTCCATGGATCCTGGCTCTTTTTTCTTTGGCATCGTATGATGTTTTACTTCCATGAACGTATCCTTGGAAGTCTTATTGGAGATAACACTTTTGCTTTGCCTTACTGGCCATGGGACATCCCTGAAGGAATGGAGATCCCCGCCTTATATATGAACGAACCCTTTTTTGATGCAGAATGTGACATTTCTCATTTTTCACCTCGAAAGATTAATTTGAACTTCAATGATGTTGAGCATGGTTTCAAAGATGA